GTGTACAAACAACTGAGCCTCAAAAATACATGAAACAAAACCTGATAGAGCTGAAAGGAAAAAGACAAATATGCAATTATAACTGGCAACTTCAACAATCCCTTCTCAAAAACTGGTAGATTAGGAAGGATATAGAAGATCCGAACACAATTAAAAAAAAAATGATCTAACATAAATATAGAAGACTGGACACAACAACAGCAGAATTTTTTTTTTTTTTCCCAAGTGTCCACGGAACATGTACTAAGATCATACACCATATCTTGGGCCATAAAACAAATATAAAGAATTGAAATAATAGAGTGTGTTCTCTGATCATAATAGAATCAAATCAGAACTCAATAACAGAAAATCAGAGTCCGGGACAGTCCCGATGACATAAAAGGTACCCTATGGAAGCTGGAATGAGTGCATTTTTCCTCAGAAAGGTTATAAAACAACTCTCAGTGTAGCCGAAACATTTATTATTTGCATCGAAATTCTCTTAAACTGAGACTGTTACTTATTATATAAAATTACACTTTACCTTCTAATGGAGTGTCTAGAAGATTGGCGTGCTTTGTTTTCACATGAGTTTCCATATCTTGACTACAATCTTCTATTTTTCCACAGAATGGACAATTGGGAGGACTATACATTGTTTCATGAACTGATCCTTTTATTTTGGATAGGTCACACTGTTTTTCCTTACTTTTTGTGAATTTCCTAGATTCTGTTAAGTTCTCTGAATAAAAGGCTTTATGTTTTAAAGTACAATCCTTAGGTAGACTTTGAGCTGAAATTTTTGGATGATTAGATGCACAAGCTGAATGAATACTTGAATTAACTTCCATTCTACACTGTGCAGTGTTGTCCTTCCCATTTTCTGAAGTTCCATACTGTATTGTACTGATCCTCTCAAAGTTTCTTTCTAGTTCATTTTGCTCAAAATGAGCAGTTTCAATATGAAAACACATTTCATCATAATTCACACCTGACAACTTGCAAAATGGACATATAACTTCACTTTCCATGTGAACAATCAGGAGGTGAGCCTTCATGTCTGGTTCTGAGGTTACTGTTTCACCACAAATATCACAAGAAAGCATGGTAAACAGGTAGCTAAAAAAGAACACAAAATTATTTTAAATTAGAAAGTAAGAATTGAAGAAAAAGAAAATGCATTTGATAAAATTATCTGGAAAAATTAAATTTATTTAAAACTGGATTTAGAGGAAACAATTTTCAATGTACTTACTGTTCCTCAAATCTACAACAAACTTATAAATCTCAACCAAAATTTCACTACTGTATTTCAAGTTTATGGTTTCAATAAAACAAAGCAATAATATTGCAAATTAAAATAAATAAGTTTTCAAATATTTCAAAAAATGTGTCTAAGAGAGAAAAAATATAACGTTTAAAAAAATTGCCCCCGTAAGAAAAATCAGATAAGAGGAAACAAAGTGAATAAGCTTTATCAGCTGATGTATCTAAATACAGAAACTTAGAGTTGTTAATTATGGAGATGGTAAATAAACACATCTTAATAATAGCAGTTAACAGTTAAGGAGCTTTACACATGTCAAACCATTCTGTCTTAGATATGTCACCACAGACAGAAAGTGGTTAGCCAAAAGGCTAACGCAGTCAGGCTCCAGAAGATGCACTCTCAACCCAAAGAATAGAAGCAGAGTGAGCATAGTAGAAAAGAACGCTGATTCGAGTTAAGAGAACTGGATTATAATCTCATTCAGGTTTTATAATTTTAGGTAAACACCTCACCTCTTTGAGGATCGGTCTGTACTAAATGCGCAGTCGCTTTTGAGTTTTATGGACTGATAAAAGTACTGGCTACCGACAAAAGATTATTTGGCGATGAAATAACTTTTGTAAAAGCAATCACGGCCACAATCTTCCTACTACAGACCACAGTTCAGTTAAGGGCTTTTTTTTTTTTTTTTTTTAAATCCACTGAAAAGCTTTTATTAAGGGCTTAGTTCGGGAGGCCTCGGCATTGGCCCGGAGAAAAGAAAGATAAGGAAACTATTCTCATCATTTAAATAAATTTAGTTTTATAAGAACTCCCTATACCGTACTTATTTTTCTCATTATTTTTCAGAAAAGCGAAAATAGTCTGGCTTTAGAGGGGACTTCCTCCAAACCCCAGAGGAAAAATACCCTGAGAGATTATTCCTTTCCCGTGGCTGAGACACGGCTAGACGCAGGATAGACTTGAACTCCCATACTGGGTGAGAGCTGTAAGGAGGAGGGTGACAGGTGCTGGGGTGGGTGCGTGGTGAGACGGGCGGTAAGGGCCAACGTCCCGAGCCAGTAACACGAAACCAGCTCTGACATTAACTAAGTCAAAGCTCTGGGCCTGGGAAATGAGGACTGGGCAGTTCCTACCCGCCCAGAGATTCGGCCGCAGCCACACTACCTTATGCTTGGTTTCCTTTTTGGGTCCCGCAGCTGACACGGTCTGGCTCGCAGGCAGTGGAGTGGGTGCTCGGCATCGATTACCTTTTCGGGCCTGAAAGACAAAGGCAGGACCTCTCTTCACCCAGAGGTTCACAATTAACCAAGAAAAGAACCAGGGACTTCAAAAGATCTCAGCCCCCAGCGTCACATTCAAAAAAGCGTTTCCTCTGTTCCCCGGAAGGGAAGAGCTCCCAGCATGCACCACTCCACGTTGGTCTCGGTTGTAGTGCATTCTGGAAGTCGTAGTCGTTTTTCCATCTTCCCAGTAGGGTTCTGACTCCTAATTTACTAGGAGAGACACTAGGCTCTGCGGTCTTTCTGAATAAATTCCTAGGGCGGGTCCTAGGACATTACATGAGTCCACAGTATCCACTGTCTAGAGTCTGGGCAGCACTCTAGTTTATTGTCAATGAAAGATTTATGATGCTACTAGGTGTCACACTCCAAATTATGTTCCGCAGATGGAGGATGACTTAATACAGGTTCTTGCCTCAAGATTACAAAATCACCGTACCTTTTTTTTTTTTACAGCTCAGTCCTTATTTCACTCAACAAATATTTAACGGTGTCTATTGGAAAGGCATTCTGCACAGAACTGGAGCTGCAGTAGTAATCAAAATACACAAAATCCAGGCCATTTAAAGCTTACATTCTGATGAGACAGAAAATACACAAATAAACAAACTGATCATGATATATATTATGAAGGAAATAAAACTGGGTTATTTATAGAAAAGATAAATGTAGTTAGACAAGGTCTCTCTGAGATGAACAAATCTTGCACCAACAAGAGGAAGAGCATTCTAGGCAGAGAAATTAATAAGAACAAAGGCTCTAAGACTGGAACAAAAAGAACATTTTGTGATCTGAGCATAATGTTCTAGAAGTGGTTACAACATGAGATCAGAGTTGTAGGCAGGGGCCAAATCATGTAGGGCCTTGTAGAAAACTATTGGAGTATTTAAATAGGAGAGTGGCATGATCTGATGCTGTACAGTATATATTTTAAAAATCATTCTGATGCTGTACAGTATATATTTTAAAAATCAAACTGAATATGTACATTTATATTCCTTGCTTCTCAAAATCTACTAAAGTAACAGTAGAATAAAAAATAATAAAAATAAATGCTAACGAGATTTTAACAAAATTTGAAAGCTAGAAAAAAGATAGGTAGTAACGAACTCAGTGAAGAAGAGAAGTCAACAAAAAAACAAGTCAATTCATAGGCCAGAACTCTGGAGATGTTCAGAAATTAAAGACCAGACACTTCTGAAAAAGATACTAAATTTAGGCCTGAAAACAGGAACATTTTGTTAAAATTCTGCATAAGAAGTTAGAAACCTACCTCCAGATTTCCTGCATCATCAGGTTGCCAAGTGACTCATCTTTCCTCCTAGACAGAACACTACAGGTTTAGTTTATGAAGAAAATGAATTGGAGAGCCTATGAAATTAGAAACGCACAGCTAAGGGTGAGGGCCAAGGTGTTGCACTGAAAATGGGGAATAATGAAAACTAAATACTGAATTCTGAGACCCTTAGCCATTTTCCCCCATCATATTCTGATGTCTGATTTGTGCCTCCAAGTCAGGAGACTGAAGAATTCTTCTCCAGGGAAAACCATTGGTTCCAGAGAAAAGACCTGCAGATAATGACTTTAATGAAATACTCCTGAGAAACAGCCAAGATGCTATTTTATCACTCTGAAGGGAGGCCAAAAATCAGTGAATAAACAATACACAGGCTTACAATAGGTTTCTTTAGTGTCTCACCCTTAAATTTGAATGGATACTCTAGTCCTTAGGCATTGGAGTACAGCCTGTGGCAGGAAAGATGAAACCAAAATGATGAAAAGGGGGGAAAAAAACTCTGAAGAAACAAAGACTAGAGCGAGAGAGATCTCAATAGAGAACTAGAAGATAACCCAATAAATTTCTCAGAAAACAAGAGGTGGAAAACAGGAGCTTTTTCGGGGTAGGAATCATGTTATCTCTTGTATATTCTGTGCCTAGCATTGCATCTGGAAAAGCCTTTTTTCAATACCGTTTGTTGAACTCCAGGGTGGCTTACAAGACTACACGAGTGTTCTAATAATTTAGAGTACTTTATCTGGAATCATTTACTTCATTTATCAGCAACTACTTTCTTGTCAAAAATCCACGGATGTTGTAGAATCCAAAATTTTAAAATAGCAAATTGAAAAGCTTGAAACAAAGAAGAGCATATAGGAAGAAGTTAATGAGGCTGAAGAAGGAAAGAGCCTCTGTAAAAGCTCCTAAGGCTCCGTGAGGCTGGGGTTTTTATCCGTTGTGTACACTGTTGTAGCCTCCATATCTAAAACAGTGCCTGACACAGATGGATGGATGGATGGATAAATGCAAGCTCAAACGCGTGAGTGAACAACTGCACGGAGGACTAGGGCAGTAGGATACGTTCCTGCTGCAGCCACCGCGCCCGGTTTAAAATCCAGGAGTCGGTGCAGACGCTGGCTCCTCCTTCGGTGGGTGCGGCTGGGCGCGGCGTCTCTCCGCCCTGCTGCGGGTCTGTGCAGCCGCCTCCGCCACCGCGGCCGCTGCGGTCGCCGCATGCAAGGGCTTCTGGGAGCCGAACCTCGGGGTCTCGGGGAAGGGGCGCGGGTGGCCGCCATCTTAAGTTGCAAACCTAGTCGCTACGCTCAACGCTAGGGGCGGAGTGGCGACCCCACTGTCACCCGCAGCAGACGCCGCAGCGGGGGGCTGGAGGTCAGGGAACCGGATAGTGCAACTTTAATGGGTAAGTGGGAGTGACGCAGGCTAGGTTGGGTGAGCCTCGGGTTTGGTCATTTGGGGAGCTACTGGTTCCTAGGCCACTATTTTTATTTACCCCTTTTCTTGCGAAGGGTTTAGGACCAGGCTGTGTCTGGGGTTTTCTCATGGTTCCCCTAAGGGAGATAGCGGAGGCGGGGGCGTGGCAGCCGGACCTTTCTCTTGCCAACGCGTAAGCGCGGGGAGTCCAGATCCTCTTAGCAACGCTGGTCCTCGGAAGGAGCTTCAGGCAGCCAGTCTCATCCACTCGCCCCTCTCTTTCACGGTTTCTCAGTATTTTCTCTTCTCGGTGTGTGCTCTTATCAACGTTGACAACTCACTTCTGGAACTCAGCCTCTTTCTGTGTCTGGCAGCTTGTTAAAAGTACCATAGTGTCCAGAATAAGGCAGATTCGGTCCCGGGGGCCTACAGGTTGCACCTTCTACATTGGCCAGCTGCCTTCCTACACTGGGATGCAGATGCCTGGAAGGGTTTAGTCCTAACACTGGCAGGTGTGGGTTAGGTACCTCTCTGGAATATTGTCTTTCAACTCCCGTCCAAGACGAAAATTTAGTAGTTTCCTCGAAAATGCTTAAGATATGAAAGGATCTGAAAGCTGTGAAATGGAACAGTGATACTTCAGAAAGATATATGACATTGGCTTTTACTCTTGGGCTTTTGTAACGCATTATAAAAAACTTCTGACAATGTGTCTTCATTACAACACTCAATGATTCATATTCTGTAGGAAAGTGACTTAGTTTCTGGGTAAACAAGACAGTTCTTTTCTTTAGATCCTGAGTACTGCTTTGTCGGTTGTACGGGCTGTAGTCGACACACTTTCCCCCTTCATACGGATCTTGTAATTTTACTAATAGGCACCCAAACCCATAGAGATAGAGACTATGGGCACAGGAAATCCCATTAATAGATGTAAAAAAATTTTTTAGATTACAGTTCTTTGCTCATCAACACAGTTTTTCAAAGAGCTAAATAAAAAGTAAGTTTATGCCTGAAAATTCCTCTATTCTCCAACTTTGAAGTGTCTGAATAGCATTTCTTATATTTAAAATAACTTATACGAGACAGTAGCTTTTATTAAACTGATAAGTACAAATACTACACTTGATCTTAGCCAAAAGGCTGCAGAGTGATGACAGCAGTCTTATAAGTATAGTATTCAAAGTTATTTTCCAGAGAACGAAACTATCCCACTGGGCGAGGCACCTTTAGAGATCACTGTCTGTAGGCTTTATGTCCTCTTTAAAGCAACTGCAGCAAGAATGCAGGTGTTAAATAAGAGACAAGAAGTTAGTACTGTAGAAGAAAAAGGAACAAACGATAAAGGCGTTGTTGGGGCTAGATTTTATTTGGTTAACATTTATATTGAAAGGTTTTAATGTGGACTCCCTGATTAATTGTCTTAAAAGTAGTGTCTAGTGTGTGTGCTGGGGGAAGGTACAAGGTGACTTAATCAGATGTGGGGAGAAGAGTATTAGAACTTCCGTTAGTTTACTTTTTAAAACTATTTAAAATTTTTTTATTTGTGAATTTTATAATGGGATAGTTTATTAGGCTAGTAATAAGTGTATACTAATAAATAAACATTGAGGATGAATGCACAAATATATTTTGCATACATAAGGATATGTGATCAAAAAGTTTAGAAGCCAAGGGCCTAGATAAGGCCTAATGTATAGGTGATAAATATTTTTAAGAGGATCATTGCTGTGAACATTTAATTTTCCAAAATATTTAATACTTATTGAGTGTAATTCAGCAACTAATGTTGAAGCTCAGTTTGCTCTGTGATGAACTCTAATCTCTATTTTCCCCTCCAAGAGACTAAGCTCTTATTAATGAGAAAGAATTTTTATGAATGAAATAATTAGAGAACAATGCTATACATTGTTATTAATTAAGTTTGAGCTGTTTCTAATGACAAGTATTTCTAGGTGCATGCAGCATTGCTGAAATTAATTCATTAAATATTTTAAAGAGAGATTTGGGCCAATTATAAATGTACTTTAGTAAGCTGGAATATACATATGTTAAGTTCAAAGGCACAAAGTACCTTTTAAATCATTCTGAAGTCCTCAGCTTATTCTGTTCTACCTTTAGCTCCACCACTAATGAAATTTCTCTCCTATCTTTACCAGTGACCTAATTATCAGATCTTATGTCTTGTGTGATAATTGGCCTATTGTAGGCACTAATATTTGCTAGGTGAATCAGTAAACACATAAATTAAGTGGCTTGTTTTTATTGCTACCATAAGTGAAATACTCTTTTACCTTTTGAATTCCTTTCTCTTTCTCATGACTCTTATTTTCTGCTGGTTCTTCTCTTTCTCTGACCTATTTCTTTTTGGTCTCCTTTGCTCTTTCCCACTAAAATATGAAAATCCTCAAGATTTCACCTTTGGTCATCTTTCTTTTATAGCTCTACATGATCTTGGATGATCAGTCAGGACTCTTCTCCTGAGTTTTGACCCATATTTTTAACCATCTATAAATCAGATTCTCCTGTATGTGCCCTAAGTACTATAAATTTAACATGTTCAAAATGAACATCACTATACACCTATAGAATGGCTACAACCACAAAACTCCTGCCAATACCAAGTGTAGACAGGATGCAGAGCAACAAGAACTCTTATACATTGATGATACAAAATGAAACAGTTACTTCGCAGTTTGGCAGCTTTTTATGAAATGTGAAACATACACTTGCCATATTATCTATCAGTCCTACTCCTAGATATTTATCCAAGAAAGACGAAAAGTTATATTTACACAAAAACCTGTACATGAATATTTATGATAGATTTATTCATAACTGCCCTAAACTAGAAATAACCTAAATGTTCTTCAGCTAATGAATGGAATAGATTGTGATATATTCATACAGTAGGATACTACTCAATAGTAAGAGGGAATAAACTAGTGGTACATGCCGATAATATGGCCAGCTCACAAATACACTATGCAAAATGAAAGAAGCCAGTTCAATACTACATACTGTTATTCCATTTATGTGAAATTCAGGAAAAGGCAGAACTCTGGAAGTAGAGAGCAAATCAGTGGTTGCCAGGTGTTAAGGGTCCGAAGAAGGCTAATAGGAGCAGCCTTAGTAAATATTTGGGAGGTGATAGAACTGTTCTGTATCTTAATTGTGATGGGTACATGCCTGTGTATTTGTTAAATTCATAGAGCTGTATACAAAAAGAGTGCTTTTACCATATAGTTAAAAAAAAAATTGAATTCATTATTTTTGTCTCAAAAACAAGTAGGCAAGCAAACAAAACCATCACTCTGATCCTCTATCTTTATTCTGTTTTGGGTTATTTTGTCATAATACTAAAATAGCTCAAACTAAAAACCATGTCGTTATCCTCAATTCCCATTTCTCCTCACCACATATTCCTTAAATTCATTTGGCCTCTAACTATTGAATCAGTTTCCAAAATGTTTCCGGAATCAAACTGTCTTCTATATTTCCAGTGCAACTACCAATTTAATTTAGGTCTTCATCATCAAGGTTTGAAACAGCCTTCTCTTTAATTACTTTACTTCTGTTTCTTAGGATTGAGTCCTCTTTCTCAACCATATTGTAAGAGCCATATATGTTCTTATCTACTGTTATAGCTTTATCTCCTACCCCTTCTTACATGTGTCCTCTTGTTCAGGCATACAGAATTTCTTACTTTTTTGTTTTTATGTCCGGGCACCTTCAAGAACTCTGTCTTTATATATATTCCATCTGCTTGAAATGCTTATTTCTTCCCTTTTCACTCTTTGTCCTTTTCCCTGGGAAATTTTTGCTAATACTTTAAAATAGGATAACTGAGATTTTCTGAGCTCCTTAAGGCATAGTTTGTAGCTATGTGTTCTGTGCTGTCATAGGAGTGAATGCATATATTTTAGTGTACTTTACTACTTAAATAGAATTTGCCATTTCATTAACCTAATCTCTTCTACATTAGGGATGGCAGATAAATGGCAGCCTCCTCTCTGATCAATTTTTTTCATAAGTGCTAGTTGATCACAACATTCTCTCTTGTTGGACATGGGTATGTTCTCAGAATTTATCAAAATTACATTCTGGATAGCCATTAATTATATCTCATGTTAAATTCAAGTTGAAACCCTGCGTTAGACTCATTATTTTAATGTATAAATCCAGGATTGGTTATAATATCAGTAATTTAGTATTCATTTCAGAGAGCAAAATGTCCATATACTATTATTAAAGTGTTTATAATTTTTCTAAAAGTAAAACTATTACATCTATTTCAAACATAAAATTTCATGTTTGTATAAAATAAATATTTTAAGTATGCTTATTTGCTTATATAAATAATAATATTTTAAAATACATTTGTAATAAAACTTTAAAAATAAAGTATATAAGTATTTTAGTATTTAAAAGAAACTAATTATACTATAGTAATGAAAACTGGCATTGCAGCCATGACTCAAGTCATAACCTGTGTGGCCTTAATTCTTAAGCAGTGCCTTTAGTAAATGAAGGAAGCTGGACCCCAGTAAATATTTGAGGTGTGCTTATTGAAGCCTGATACCATAATCCATTGAAAATAAGACACATCATTACTGGTTATTTCTTGATCTTGCCAGAATCTGTAATTTAGAATTTTTTTACACAACTATTTCCTGGCTGACAGTGATTTTAAGATGCATCCCACTTAAGAAAGGTTAAAATACCAGGGATGCATGCATCTTAGATTCATGGAAATTAGAGTAATGGCTTTGTCTATGTTTAGCCCAGAATCTGCTATTTGTTTGATAGTTTAGTACTAAAATAGTCATTTTTTTCCAATTTGATGTGGAAATGAGGGAATGTGTTCTTTGTACATAATTTTCAGAGGGGGTTTTGTGCCTATTTAATCGGTGAGCCTGAATTTAGTAGCCCTAGGGTAAACATTTCATGTTATTTTGATAGTTATCAGTATCTATTCTTTTTTCTTTCCCAACCTTAAGATGCCATGGCTAGTCCAGGGAAAGATAACTATAGGATGAAAAGTTATAAGAATAAAGCCCTAAATCCCCAAGAGATGCGTAGACGAAGAGAAGAAGAAGGAATACAGCTTCGAAAACAAAAAAGGGAAGAACAGGTCAGTGTTTTAAAATAATTCTCTGTTTAACACAAAAACATTATATGCAGATTTTAGAAGTTGTATTATTATTGTGAATTTTTAGATAATTTTAATTGAAAATTGTTTTAGGAAATCGAATATAGAGAAATCTATTTTTACATTTATTGGACATCAGGAATATTAGCAAATTCGTGAATCAGAATCCTGTGCTATTTTAAATCACCGACAGGAATGGCTTTTCTGTTGTATCAATAAATATTTATGTTAATTATATTTCTACTCCAATGCTAAGAGAATTTTACTCTTGAGCCTATTTAGATCATTTCCATTTGTCATTGTAACATTTTTCTCTTAAAAAAACATTATTTCATTTGTTGCTTTATGATTTTCATTGCTCATGCCCCTAAGTTAATTATAATGTTTTTCCTATGCTACTCATACAGTTTTTCCTATAATCTCATCAGCCAGATCTCTTAGCTTTCTGTGTTTGAATTTTGTCTGTGTGACATAAGGGAAAAAAATCATTTAAAAGAGTACATCTCAACATTTTTCATTTCAAGATATATTTACATTTAGAATTTGTAAGTAATAAGGAGGATTCGATCCTCAGATACATGAATTAAAACTAATGTGTGAAAAGGACTAGCAATGAAGATGGTAGAGAAAAAGGCCTGTTTTAGAAATATGATTATAATTTGACATCTCTCTATCTGTACTAGCTAGTGTAGCCCCTACTATGTTATCATAGGTGCTCAAAAAAAAATCTGTTGAATGAATGATTAGATCCATGTGTACAGACTGAAGAAGAGCAGAATTTATTTAGTTATAAAAAGTATAAGTTTTTTTACCCTCAATTTTGATATAGGAGATGTCCCCTTAAATCTCCATTAGTCACCATATCTCTTTCCTGCTCTCTTTTTTAAAAAATTTTTATCCATTGTTGAATTAATAAGCATAGGGCCATCTTTCTTGAGAGTTCTCTATCCCTTGTTAATCTGATATACTAGTTCTGTTAATATACCACATTATCTTTCCCATGTAACAGATTTACTTTTTAATTAAGATTTTCTTAGAAAAATTTTTAGACATCTCATAATCCAGTGTGGGCATATGTGCTTTTTCACATGCTATAATATGTCAGGTGTGTATTCTACGGATGGGACTGGCCTTTGGTGGTAAAAGATCTGATTAAGAATGACCCAAAGCATTCTACAAGGCAAGGGCCAACCTAGCCCAGAAAGTCTTAGCTTCGTGTTGATAATTTAGGTCTTCATCATATAGCGATTGGGAAATGCTAAAATATTCAGAATTTTAAATGATAAAACAAACTAGTTTGTTTTATTGACTTAAATGAAAAATATAATTTCATGGAAATGCAGTGTTTTAAGGAAAGCTCAATGTATAAAGTAATTTCTCTTTATTACAGCTGTTCAAACGCAGAAATGTCTCTTTGCCCAGAAATGATGAATCTATGCTAGAAAGTCCTATCCAGGATCCAGATATAAGTTCCACTGTACCTATTCCAGAGGTAGATATTACAAAAATCTATTTCAAATTATACTTTAACAATATTTCAAAAATAGTGGATGCAGCAAATGCTATTCATGTAAAATATTTAAATGATAAATTAATTTTATTTTTTTCTATTTTAGGAAGAAATTATTACCACAGATATGGTTCAGATGATTTTTTCTAATAATGCTGACCAACAACTAACAGCAACACAGAAATTTAGAAAACTGCTTTCTAAAGGCAAGAATTATTTTCAGTATCCTTATTTGATATTACAAGATTTTATTGTAGTGTTTTATTTATGAGGTATTTTTTATTTTAAGGCACTTTTCTTTGACAGGCGCTCTCAATTTTTCTTTAAAATATGTTTTTTAATTTTTCGTAGTTTTCTTATTAAAATTATTGGAGTGACATTGGTTAATAAAATCATATAGGTATACAATTCAGTACTACATCATATGTGTATTGCATTATGTGTTTACCACCCAAGGTTAAATTTACTCTGTCACTATATATTTGACCCCCCTATCTACCTCTCCGCCCCGTTCCTTCTGGTAACCACTAATCTGCTGTCCATGTGTCTCTGTTTGTTTATCATGTTTGTTTGCTGCTTTCAGTTTTATATCCCACATATAAGTATGCCAAGAAGATATACAAATGGCCAACAGACATATGAAAAGATGCTCAACTTCACTAGCTATTAGGGAAATGCAAATCAAAACCACAATGAGATACCACCTCATACCTGTTTGAATGGCTCTCGCCAACGGGACAAGTAATAACAAGTGCTGGAGAGGTTGTGGAGAAAAAGGAACCCCCAGACACTGCTGGTAGGAATGTAAATTGGAACAGCCACTATGAAAAACAGTATGGAGGTTCCTCAAAAAATTAAGAATAGAATTACCATATGATTCAGCAATTCTCCTTCTGGGCATTTACCCAAAAAACTTGAAAACACTTATCTGCAAAGATATATGTACCTGATGTTTATAGCAGCGTTATTCATGGTGGTCAAGACATGGAAACAGCTGAAGTGTCCAATAGATGATTGTTTAAATACATTTTTAGATAACATTTGTTTTTTAAAAAACATATTATCAAAGTAACACATGTTGATTGTGGAATATTTGCAAATGTAAAAGAATTAAAAGAAGCAAATATAAAAATCATTATTTCTATTGCCAAGAAACAAAGTTATAGAAACATGTTTTTAAATTCCTGTAGAAATATTTTCCAGACATAATTTTTTAAATGACAGCATAACATCATAGTATGATCAATCCATCAGACCTTTAATTTTTCCCAGTTTTTTTCATTTGACAAATTTATTGGTATTTTGGTAAAGACATTTATCTCAGTCATTTCTGTTTCCCATCTTGACCTTACGTTACTATTTCATTTAAGTCAAGAAAATATGTAGGAAAGGGATGTTATTTTAACGTAAATTTTAAAATGGATAAAAATGAAAAGTTTGCCTACATTAAAGCAAATTGAATTAATGTATCTTAATTTAATTAAATCATCATGTAAGTAAGAACTGATAGATAGTTCTATGCATATTTCCATTGTTTTACTTAGGGCTTACTCTAAACTTAAATGAAGTGAACAAAGTGTTAAGAATACATACATGCGCTTCTCTGGAATTATCTATTAAAAGACCTGAGCAGGTAATTACCACCATTAAGACAGTCTGAAGCTGCTGCCTATAAATATAACATTATAGGAATTTTTAAGGAAATTATTATACTGTATTTTTCTTTTATCTATGACTGTGTCTTTAAGGATGTGTTTAACTTTCACATTAAAAAAGAATTCATATACTATACAAAAATACAAAAAAACAAAATAGAAATAACCCTACAACACACAGCTCTGACAAAGTATATGTGGTCAAAGATTCCGTAAAATGATTTTCTTTCCTTCTATTTTCAGTACCTAAAATTTGGTTTTGAAAGGCCATTGGTTAATATGTATACACTTAAACCATATTATTGGACCAAATAAGAATTCCTATAGTAAGTTCAAATCAAATTGGATTTCACAAGTTAGTAATCTAAATGTTTTGACAAAGTTTTTCTTCTTCATACAATGTTGCTTTTTCTGGGGTTTGTTACCTTTTAAAATATAAAAACATCCAGATATTTAAGTATTATTTACATTTAAAATTTTTGGAGGTGGTTTGTATTTTAAAAGGAACAGCTTTCTTATGACTTGCCTCAAGATCTGGTGGAAATGCTTATAGGAACTAACTAATAAGAAAAACTAAGAGAAGCATATTCAAAATACTGATTTACTTTGGTAGCAAATGGTTGTTCTTTGAAGACTAATGAAGATAGACAAGACTTGTTAGGGGGAAGTGTGCTATTTCAAATACTTAACAGTTTACATAAAATTAAAAAAAAATTTTTAAAGAATTAAGCATCTGTATCCACTGATAGTAATGCAATATCCAGTTTATGACTTAAAACAAAACAAATGCCCACTAGGAAATAAAGTAACATTTTAACAATATAAGGCTGTTCCGGGGAGCCAGAAATTTTAGATTAATAAGGGAGTTAGAGAGGAATTGCTTACAGTTTAAACAGACAATACTTTTTGCTTCTTTCTTAATGTGCTAATAGTTGTACCTAAAAAAATATGCAGTTCTTAAAAAGGTATCATTTCTGATTTTTAAAATTATCTGTAACCTTTGGAAACTAATCACATGAAACTACAAAATTAGCAGATGTCTTAAAGTCTGTGTATAAAACATAAATTACCTCTAATTTCAAACTGTCATTTATTAGTATACCACTGTCTTAAAAAAAAAAAAAAAAAAGTGGCTCCAAAGATAGTCTTAGACCATTCTTTAAAAAGGAAACTGTTCCTTTTAACTTCATACCCACCCCACACCCCAGTTTCAAAACACATTATTTAATTGTCTTGGCCACTGATATTTCATAGCTTGCATAGCTTCTGGTTATCAGAAAACCCATACTTTCCTTTATTTAAGGAGTTTTGTCCTGTTGACGTTGATGTATCGCTTCCAGTATCCTTCATCCTCATCTTTGCTTCTGGAGGCATTTTTTCTGGTTCACTATCTTCATCTTCATTAACAGCTGCTGCTACTGAAAGGGTTTTTGGAGGGAGAGTTAGAAAAGTTTCCTTAGGCTTACCTGATCCAAGTTTGAGGGATATGGCTGAGGCTTTCTTTGTCAAATGGCAAATCCAGATGTGGAGATCTCTGTAGGCTTGTTGGGAGGTCTGTTCAGTGCTGTGACTGAAACTTCCCCCTCCATTACTGGAGGAAATAATCTTAGTTTTCACAGGATTTTCTGCTTCTCCTTTAGGTCTGCCGGTGGCGCCAGCTCACTACAGCTTCTCAGGCTTCTCCCCTCTCACCTTCCCCTCCACCATTTTTCCCATCAAGGCCTCCCTGCACATTTTCCCCCAATTTTTGATGATCATAAAGCTCTATAAATCCTCAATCAACCTAAAACTTCCTTAGTATAAATTTATAAAGTAAAACTGTGGGTCAAAGGAAATAAACAGCGTGTTAATTTATACTCCTATCTTCAGTTTGTATGAGTATTCATTTCACTGTTTTTATTAACATGACTATCTTTAAAAAAAACATGCTATGCATTAGCATATTGTGTGGCATTTTTAAGTACTTAAATATTTTTCTTTAATTATTGACTTTTGTAATTCATAATTTACCTGTTTATGTTATTTATCAAATTTTATATTGTTTATAAAAATTACTTATTAAACAAACATTTACCCCTTAGTCTATCTTGTGTTTTGTATATGGAATTAATGGAATTAGTTACTAACTATACTGAGTTGTATATGTGAACTGATAAGAGTTTTGAAATTGCCCGTGGCTAGCTGCCTTATTTTCCCCAAGAGAGACAGAATTTAGTAAAACCTGAGGAATAAAAGAAATCTTGTGTTCAGGTCAGCTAAGATCACAAGGCTTTTGCTTTTGCTTTCTTATTGTAGTTCTGCTTTGTAAGTACATTTAACCTTTGTTTTCCATTTCTTCGAAGCTCACATAGCTTAGCAATGTTAGGAAATCCTTGTATAATTGAGAATCGCTTCCTCTTCTTTATCAGATTCCGCATTTTGGGGTTTTGAATTTGATATTATCTTTTTAAATCACGTTAATGTTCATTATATTCTCTTTCAAGATTTCTTTTTCATATATGCATTATATTATAACCAATTAGCAAAATTTATTTAGATTTAGTTCTGTTTAAGAATGTTAACATTCTTATGCCGCCAGTGTTTTTATACTGCAACTTGCCCATTAAATTCTTTAGTCATAAGATTTTATCTTCATTTGCCCAAATTCCTCAGGGTCTTCTGTTTCTTTTAAACTGTAATATCTTTTTCAAAGAGCCACTGATTTTTTTTCTGTTTCTTTATAGTGGTATTATGCTTCCCCAATTGGGCACAGAGCAGGAATTAAAGATGCTTTCTTTTACCGATTGATGTCAGATTCTGCCAAATATATCAGGTCTAGAAAAATATTAGATTTACTGTAATTTTACTTGAACCATCACTGGTAGAAACATGGGACAGGAGCTAGAACTAGAATTCCTCTGATGTAAGTTATGATAGTGACATTTAGCTAGAATCTCCTATTTACTTCTCTATCAGGGCCAGCCACTCCTGTGGGTATAAATCATAGATTTTCCTTTTCTTAAAGTCCAGTTTTTAAAGAAATTTCTCCATTTTTGTTGCTGTCGTTGTGGAGGACTCTTGCTTAGTTTTAAGTGCTGAAGCAGATAGTCCCCTATTTTACTTATGTTTATATTGCCACATTGATTGAACATCTTCTCTATAATAGTTGATCACCTTTAGAAGATAACATAGCTATTATTCTGTCAATTAATATAATACCAATGTAAAAGTTAATAATAGTTCATGATACCTGTTAGAATAACTGATGATCCAAGTGCACTTTGTTTTCTTTTAGATGAAAGTAACCATAAAGTAATTTGCTAGGAAGAGACCATATTTGGATTCTTAAATCTCTCTATGTATCTAAAATTTATATTTGTTTATCACATATTTAAAGCTGACAGTTCCCATACCCACTTCTCTCACCCTCTAAACCAGAAAACCCACTGTTTTCTTCCTTCTCTCAACCTCTGCTTTCTCTCCCCCGTCGAGTAAGAAAGAGCAAGAAAAAATTTTTGTTTTTTTTAAAAAAAATAGGAAAGTAGATTTAGAATTTTCTTATGGAAAAAGAAAAAACTAGAAGATGAAGGTGGTAACTACAACTATAATTTTGTTTTCATTTTTTAAAAGATGGATGTAAAGGCATTAGTAATATATGTTGTTTTGTCCTGTTGATGTTTTATAACTCTAACAACAGTTTAAGCTAGGGTCTGGAATTTACATTTTGAGGAATTCAGACTTTTTATTTAGAATACCCAAACAAAACTTTTCTGTGTATAGCTTTACTAACTTTGCAGAAATCTAATTTTTGAACAAATTAGAAGGACAGCAAATTTATAGAAAACAGAAGAAAAGGAAGAAAGAGGTCCATTTCTGAAAAACCTTTCTTAACAATTGAGAGCATGATTTCTAAGGTTTAAACTTAGTAATGTTTCTCTATATCAGAAAGATAGAATTTGTACAGATCTTTTATGGTTACTATTCATTCTGCTGATTAAACTCAATATGTGTTATTTATGGTCAGTAATACAGTCAAACAGAATTAAGAAGAAAAGGAAGAGTCAAAAGTAGAAATGAAAATTTTCTCCTGTGAGTAGGTGGGTAGATTACTCAGTAGTAGACAAATTTGGGTAGTGGGAACAGTCCATAGTGATTTACAAGTTTGGTTGGTTTTGGTTATGCTACAGTTTAAAGAAGCTGTGGAAAAAAATATGGCCAGTAGATACTTAAAAATATCTAGAATCCAGGAGAGAAGAATTCAGTTATGAGGGTTAGATTTGTAAATTACCACAGATGATAATCATAAGTGACAATTAAATTAGCAAAATAGGTAAATTTCTAGAGAGAATAAATAACAGGGAGAAAACTAACCCAAAAGAACATCTTATAGTTCCTGGAGAACTATAAGAGAATACTTTTTGCTGAAAGCCAAGGGAGGAGGAGTTCTTGGTACTTAGATTGTCAGTAGCTAAAATAGCTTTGTTTTACTTTTGCATGTCTTTGTTTTAAAATTTCTTAGAGATTTTATGATTCTCAGAAGCCCTCTGCGTTTCATAAAAATTTATCAAGAATTCTAGATTGTCCAATAGCATTTCTTTAAATAATAAACAATACCCTGACAAAATAGAACCTCATCAGACTGAGACATTTGACAATTTATGGCTGATAGTGAGGGAGACATCCCTAGAAATTGGAGTATAGTTATAAAAAATCAGTGGGAACATTACCCTTCAGTTTGTGTTCGAGTGTTAGACTGAAATATTCCCATATTGTGAAGGTGACCTTCTAAATAGACTTCAACTTAAGAAATTTAAATATTTGTGTAGTAAATATTTAAATTTTTTATTGTCATTATGGTTATTGAAAAAATTTGCTTTGCAATAAATATTACAATTTGAGAACATTTGTTTTCTTCAGTTACATCCAGCTGAGAGTTTAAAATTTGTCAGTCAAACCTAAGAGTTATTTTGTGTGCCTGTTAATTAACACAGGGACCAGATTGTTGTCTTTTTGTGTCTATGTAATAACTTAATGCTTTTTAAATTTTTAGAACCTAATCCACCAATTGATCAAGTTATACAGAAGCCAGGAGTTGTACAGAGATTTGTGAAATTTCTTGAAAGAAATGAAAATTGTACTTTACAAGTGAGTTCTATAGTTTTCTTTCTTAATCTTTTTCCAGAAATGACATAATAAGAGTTTCTAATGAAAGCAACATAAGCATTCAGTGATTACTTGGCAATTAAAGGAAAAGGTAGCGCTACTTGTCTTGCTGTGGCCATGGTTGCAGTGCTAACTTCTCCTAGAAACTGTTAATTTCATTAAACAATTTTGGGAAAAGTTTATAAAATTATTCCAGATTTTAATAAAGTTTGTAGTTATCAACCTTTAATAACTTTTTTGTTTTAGAAGACCTCAAACTAAAATGTTCACTATGGTTAAATTTATTTTGGCTATTAGCTAACTTGGGTTGTAACTGCTTAGGATAAACTCTTTTACCTCTTAAAACATTTTATTTGAAAATTAGGGTTTTTTTTTTTTTTTGAAAAATGAACAGATCAGTATAATCTACTAAAAATGGATCAAAGTTAGGTTTGTGTCATAAAGAGCATTACTTCTTAATTATACTTAATGTCAGTTTTAAGATCTCTTCCAAATAATTGGCTATTAATAGCAAATTATTGATATTACCAAATATTATACTGTTAAAAAAAAGATTGCTCTTACTGACCTTCATTGCTATATATATCCTCAAGTAAAAGTACAGGGCAGAAGTATAGCTATCAGGATTTGCCCAAGACCTACACTTAGTTTATCGATGTTATTGTCAGTAATGGAGGACTGTTACTGGTATTTTAGTAATAGTTGTTGAAATTACAACTTAGGGTAGTGTTCCACTTATCTGAATAATTTGGGAAAGGTCCTCACATTTTGGTAATAAACAGTGGAATGTGTTGCACAGGTGAGTGTTACCCATCACAAGTTGTATGCTGAAAATTCTTGAGAATATTTGCAATAAGTGTCTGAAGAAAATACCGCTTTATTCATGTTAAAGTCTGTCAATTAGTTTTCAAAGTCTTTAGGTATTAGTGCTGTAAGGGCTGGAGATATGACTTCTAGTTCATTTGCCTTATAGATAAGCTCCGAGTCCAGACTAAAATCCAAGCCTTCTGATATCTAGTTTATTATTTGGTTCTTTAATTCTAAATGAATGAAAGAGAAAATGAGTGAATGTGAATAAATAAAATTAAGTGTTAATTTGAACTGTACATTGTGTAAGGCATTATAGTTACAAAATTGAGTAAGTTATTGTCCCTCTCTGCAGAAATTCTTCACTTTATGTTGGGGAAGACAAATACATAAATGGACCTGTGATACCATAGTATGCTTAGTGCTATAACAAATATAAACCAAGAGCTTTGATAGCATAGACAACATAGCAACTTAGCTGTTTAGGGGAAGTCGAGGAAGACTTCACAAAAGTAGTGTTACATGGGTAGTCTTAAGGATAAATGAGAGTTTGGCGGACTGAAAAGAAGAAAATTAATATCAGATTGATGATATCATGTATAGAGAGCATAGAGTATTCAAGAACATTAGGTGCTTGAGCATTTATTAATCACTATAATTAAAACCTAATGAAATTCAATAGTATGGTCTTGGGACAGCTATATGCTGTCCCATATTACTCACGTTCATATGAAATATGCTAATTCAGAACACTGGTCTGTCTAACTAAGGCCTCAAACTGAGAGCCTGCAAGCCATTTTCGCCCACAAATTTTGTTTGGCCTGCATGTGTTTTAAAAGATGCGAATTAGATATTAGATTTTAAAATTGGGGAATTTCACGTGAAAATCTAGCCTTGTGGCTTCTTTTGACAAACAGAAAAATTAGCTTTGTTGCCACATAGTGAAGACCTGAGTAGGAGTTCTTCTTTTTTTAAAAGTTATTTTTTTCCCCCTTTTAAAAAATCATAGCCATGCTCTCCAGTTTGCCACTGTTCTCCACTTGCTCATATGACTCTTTATTTAATTATCTGTTCTATAGACTTGTGAATTCACCATTCTTCACTGATGCTTTCTCCTGGAGATGGCTAGGACATTTTAATGGAGTAAACTTTTAATTGTCTTTTAGTTTATTTCCTTACCTGTAATTGGTTAGGACTGTGGTCTTCATTTTTTAAAATATAAATTCTTCTCTTAAATTGTTTTCTTAGTCCATAATCATAATAGCAACTGTACTTTTCATGCCTTTCAGTAATGCTTTTGGATGCCTTTTTATTATTATTAATCATAATAATATCTACCTTAATGTGAAAAGTTAACTGTGGCAAATATTTTTAAAGCTATAGTCAGTTTGCCTGTGGATTTGTAATCATTTACCTTATTGTTTGGGAGACATGAGTTGAATTTTCTCAATTGCTTCCATTATAAATCTATCATATGTAAGTATATCCAAATTCTAATTGAATCGATGGAGTAACTTCTCAGAGGCTCTGCTGCTGAAAAGAAACCTCAGGTCCTGTTTATGGCTCTTTTTGACCTTGCACAAATAACCTAAATCTTGAGACTTCTAATTTTCTTAGTTTTTAAATGAGGAGGTTGGGACTAGATGATCCCCCTCAGGAAACAAAAGTACCATTTACAATTCTAGATTTCATAAATATACTGTTGCTCTATTAAGTAGTGTTTCATTTATTTTTAAACCGCTTGATTTTAGAACACCTGGCTCTCTAGTAGTAGACATAAGGAGTTTTATGAATTATAAATTCAAATATGCTCATTTGTTCATGATTTTGTAAATTTTTATTATATTCTTCTTAGTTCTTTTTTTCCGGATCGAACAGTCTTTTAAAGTAAGGATTTTTTTCTGTGAAATCTAATTTCAATTGGATCTTACTAATTATGTCAGTCTTTATCGCAGACTTGTGCAGCTAAATCTTTATTCCCTTTTTCCCTTCTTCCTTTTTATGACATTTCTTTGGTGCTTTCATTTATTCTGCTTTATTTTTCCCTAGTTTGAAGCTGCATGGGCATTAACTAATATAGCATCTGGAACTTTTCTGCATACCAAGGTAGTGATTGAAACTGGGGCTGTTCCAATTTTTATCAAACTTCTTAATTCAGAGCATGAAGATGTACAAGAACAGGTAAATTTCTAGTTTAAGCTGTTATGTTTACTAGATTAATTTTCTTGTGAAAGTACCATTTGTGATTTTGATTTGAAATTTATTTTTACCAAATTGCCTGTGTATTGCATTTTCTAAAATATAGTAATTTCTATTCAGTGTCAAATTAGAAAGGAGGAAGAATTAACTGTCTCAGACATCGTCCTGGGTTATATATGTGTGATCTCAGCTATCAGGAAGTAGTATTCCCATTTATTTATAAAAAAGCATACCGAGACCCAGAAAAGTTAGGAATTTACCCAAAGTCACAGCGAATGGTTGAACCAAATTTTAAACCTGTACCAGTCTGAATCCTTATTTTTTTTGCATGTACGTAGATTATTTTGTTGTTTCTTTTTAAAACATTACATAATTTTGAATACAACCATTTTAAAATAAATTTTATGAATAAATTCTCATAGTTTTTTTGGTCTTACATATTTATTAAATGTTTGAACTTTTTTTTTGCTTTTTTCATCTTTACTGAAATATAATAGACAATTAGTTGCTTGTATTTATATTGTACAATTTAATGAGTTTTTTTCAATTATAGTTGGCATACAATAATATACCAGTTTTAGTTGTATAGCGTAGTGATCAGAAATCCACATAACTTGCAAAGTGATCACCACACTAAATCTAGTACCCTTCTTCCTCCTTACCTATTTATTAACTATCTTCCCCATGGTACACTCTACATTTCCATGTCTATTCTGCATCTATCCATTTGTACCTCTTAATCCCTTTGCCTTTTTTTTCTCCCTCCCAAGTCCCCTCCTATCTAGTATCCCTCTAAATATTCTCTGTATTTATCTCATAGTTGTTTTAAGAGGGAAAATTTAAACATACAATTTGTACCATCCAAAGAAAATCAAATGTTTTAATATTTTGTTTTGAATCCTTTTTATGCAAATTGATTTTCTGTATATATACATATATATGTATATATATATAAAATTATTTTCCTCAACTTATCACTAATATTAGGAGACTTTTCTTACAGCATTAATTATATTCCAAGAAAATTTTACTGATTACTCATTATCTGTTCATGTACCATAATTTATCTATTTCTTCATTGTTGTACGTTGGAGTTATTTCTAGCTTATTAGTGTTATTAATAACATTGTGATAACATTATTATATATCAATCTTTATGTGCCTCTTAATTATTTCATTAGAGAAAAGTGACTTTACCCTGTCAAAAGAAAACAATTTTAAGTTCTTATTACATATTTCAAAGTTAACCTCCAAAAGAGTTATGCCAGTTGATATTCCTACCAACAGAATATTAGACTTCACAGAGGGAAAATGTCATTACTTTAAAAGGTTTTTCTTAAAAAAAAAAAAAATGAAAAGAAACTTAGGTCTTGAGTAGATATTAAAAATATTAACTCATGCTTTAAAAGTTAAAATTTTCCCAATTGGAAAAGTAACCTATGTCCACTTTTATACTTATATGAAAAATTTGAAACGAGAATATAATAAAATGATAATTTGCATTTGCACAGTTTCTCATCTAAATGAAATTTAATAAGTAAATAATTTGATCATTTACTACTATTCATTTAAAAAATTATAATGAACCTGGACTAATTCTAAACTTATTTTCAAGGATCAATCTACGCCAATTTTAATATTAACTTTACCTCACTTTTCTATGCTTTAAAAAATTCTTTTATAAATCAGTCCCTTCCCAGTGAGTAGAGTCCTGGGCATAGGAGCAAACCTCTAGTAGAGGTTATTGGAAAATTCACTAAATAGATATATGTTGTCTCTCCTTGTAGATTCAGTATCTCTTTATTGAAAGCAATAAATATATCAGAAGTATGTAACGAAATTTTAAAAACCGACCTTTCAGTTTGATTAAAATATTATTTATTTTATTATGCTTTTAAAGTTTTTTTTCTTAGTCTTACTGGCATTTTTTTAACTTCTTGAAAAGTTCATTCTGTACTAAAATCTCATCTTAAAAGAGAGCATCATATTTAAGAAATTGTTATAACAATATTTTTTTCTTATTTTTCTAAGGCTGTTTGGGCACTTGGTAATATTGCTGGTGACAATGCAGAATGCAGAGATTTTGTTTTGAATTGTGAAATACTTCCACCTCTTTTAGAGTAAGTAGTCTAAATTTAATGTAATTAAAGTAATACTACTTTTGGAAAAGAAAACTATATTTTACACTGTACTTCTATATACATAATTAAATTCTTCAGTGATGTTTTTAAATTTGGCTTATGTTTAACCATGCCTGCAAAAGCTTGAAAATACTAGAAAAAAATTTCCAACTGTGTCATATCTGTCTTTTATGTTCTCTTGAGACATACTTCACAATGGTCATTGTTTACTTGTTGCTTACTATGCTAAGATAACTATTCTGCAAAAAGAAAAAAGAAAAAAGGATATGTAGTAGTTTTTAATACAATAAAAATTCAAATTTTGCCGAAGTTGGGAATCTTTAACAGATAATATATTTAGGTTGTCATGTTTTTATATTTGATTTTGAAATGTTCTGAGAACAAAGATCATAAGAGTTTTTCTTTCAGAATTAGAATTTTACTTAAAGTGATTTATCTAGTAGTTTCTTTTACAAATACTTTACACACTTTTTAAAAAAAGAAATTACCCTTAATGTAAGGTCCTATACAGAAATGACAAAATTATTTGACAGTAGGTTTCTTTATCTATCTTGGCTATCATTCACTAAGAGAATCTTTAGGCTAAGCAGCAAGTAGTGAGAATGAAAAAAAAAATTAATTGAGATGTTTGGAAGAAAAATTTTATTCTTTTCATTTCTGTGCCATTTTCTATCCTCTCTGAGCTGAGGAATTCAATTCATTTTTAGATACTAGTTTGCAAAAGGTATTTTGTTTTAGAGTGAGTAGTTTTCTAAGGACAGAAGTGATTTCTCAGCATAATTTCATTCAACTAACAAGAAGTACTTACTCGGTGTAGGCCACTGAATCACTTGCTATATTGTCATTTATTTTAGGCTTATCCAAAGTTAATGTTCCATAGTATATGAGACTTTAGCTGAGCTATAAAGGAAAATACTGATTTGGAGTTCAATACCAGAGTTATTTTGAAGTTTGTACTATTAAAAGCATCTCTTAAATTTTTAATTTAAGATTTTTCTGGCCTGATTCTTTTTACTTTTGGTCTCTGTCTCTACATTATTTTATTATTTGTTAATATCTCAAATTGATAATGGTTTATGAAATAGTAAGTAAGCATTTTTAGTGCTAATTTCTTTAAATATTCTAAGGAGCTTTTAATTGTAACTGAAAAATAAAACTCTAATGGATAGCAGACAGTACTCAGCTATGTAGTGCTAGTTATAATAATTTTCAGTAAAAACGTAGGCTTAGAAAGTTAGAAAATTTCAAAGTTTTATTTAAAAATGAGGAAGACAGTAAGAAGGAAGTTATGTCAAGTTAGAAAAAAGATGCTCTCACTTTAGTTGAGCAAAAAGAAAAAAGTTATTAGTTTATAAAAGATTATGGATTATCTGTTGTTCACATTGAAATTTACACTTAGCTAATGCTTAAATTAAGTAAATATAAAACTTTTATTAATGCATAGTTTGTTAATTCCATTTGAATCAGTTTTAATTTTTTTTTAATCTAATTCATTTGATTCTCAGTAAATATAAACCTTTTACTACTACAGACTATATATACTGACACAACTTTGTGTTTTTAAATTTAACTTTAATTTTTAATACAGCAAATCTGGACAAGAGATTTGTACTTTCTCATAATAACTTTATTTATATAGATAAAGAAGAATAGTATACAACACAGGTTGGTCAACCACAGTCCTCAGGCCAAATCTGGTGTGCTTCCTGTTTTGTAAATAAAGTATTGTTGGAACACAATCACATCCATTACCTTATCTAATGTCTGTGGTTGCTTTCATGCTATGTCCACAGAGAGAAAGGGCTGAAAAGCCTAAAATATTTACTGAAAAAATTTGTCAACCCCTGCTATAGAAAAATCAGTGTAACTATTTTATTTTTAAAAGAGTTAATGAAAGGTTTTAGGCCTCAGAGACCCTTTATAGGAAAACCTTTAGAACAGATTTTTTTGGTAAAATACACATAACCTAAAATTTACCATTTTAACCATTTTAAAATATACAGTTTACTGGCATTCAGTACATTAGCAATGTTGTGTAGTTCCAGAACTTTTTATCACCCCAGACTGAAAACTTAGTACACTTTAAACAGTCACATCCTATTTCCTCATTATCCCAGCCCTTGGAAGCCACTGACCTACTGTCTGTCTCTATGGATTTGCCTATTCTGGATATTTCATATAAGTGGAATTATACAAATTGTGACCTTTTGTGTCCGGTTTCTTTCACTTAGCATATTGTTTTCAAGGTTTACCATGTATCAATACTTCATTCTTTTTAGGTTGAATAATATTTTATTGTATGGCTGTACCACATTGTGTTCATCCATTCATCAAATGATAGTCATTTGGTTGTTTCTATCTTTTGACTACTGTAAATAGTGCTCCAATGAACATTTGTACACAAGTTTTTGTTTGAACACCAGTCTTCAATTCTTTTAGGGCTATACCTATGAATGGAATTACTGGGTCATATGGTAGTTCTATCTTTAACTTTGTAGGACTTACCAAACTGTTTTCCACGGCAGCTGTACCATTTTACATTCCCACCAGCAATGTATGAGGGTTCTACTTTCTCCACATTCTCACCAACATGTATTGTTATTTGTTATTCTGATTTAAGCCATCTTAGTGGGTATGAGCTAGTATCTCATTTTGTCTTAATTTGCATTTCCTAATGATGAACATCTTTTCAAGCATTTGTTGGTCATTTGTGTATCTTTGGAGAAATGTCTATTTTGGTCTTTGCATATTTTTTAATTCAGTTATTTGTTGTTAGGTTGTAAGAGTTCTTTATACCTTCTGGGCAGATTCTTATATATATGATTTACAGATATTTTTTGCATTCTCTGGGTTGTCTTTTCACTATGTTGATAGTGTCTGTTGATTCACAAAAGTTTTTCATTTTGGTGAAATCCAGCTTATTTATTTTTTCTTTTGTTGTTTATGCTTTTGGTTTCATAGATTTTGCCAAATCTGAGGTCATGAATATTTACTTTTATGTTTTCTTCTAAGAGTTTTATAGTTTAACCTCTTGTTTTTACATCTTTGGGATACATGTAGACATCTACTTGTCCCAGCATGATTTATTGAAAATATTATTCTTTTCCCATTGAGTGGTCTTGACACCCTTGCTGAAAATGAATTGACCATACATGTGTGGTTTTATTTCTGGATTTTCTGGAACTTCTCAGTTATATTCCATTACTCTATATATCTGTCCTTATGCAAGTAATATATGGTTTTGATTAATGTGGCTTTGTGTTAAGTTTCAAAATCAGGTGCGAGTACTTAAAATTAAAAAAATTTTTTTTTTTTTTAGCTCTTTAGGACTCCTTGAAATTCTATATGAATTTGAAGATTGATTTTTTTCATTTTTGCAAAAAAGACAATAGGCATTTTCATAGGGATTACATTGCAACTTTGGAGAGTATTGCTATCTGAACAATATTAGATCTTCTATTCATGAACATGAGAAATCTTTTACTATACCGGCGTACTTCATTTTATTGCTCTGATTTTTCTAGTTTCTTAAGATGGACGTTTAGATTATTTATTTGGGATTTTGTTTTTGTTTTTGTTTCTTTGTTTATTTTTAATTTTTTTATTTTATTATACTTTTAATGTAGATGTTTTAGTCTAGATATTTCCCTCTGAGCATTGCTTTCACTGCATCCTGTATTAATAGTTATGTTTTCATTTTAATTTATTTTGAAGTATTTTCTAATTTCCTTGTGATTTTTTTTATCCTATTGGTCATTTAAAAGTATGTTACTTAATTCCCACATATTTGTGAATTAACCAGTTTTCCTTCTATTAGTGATTTTTAGTTTTAGTCCATTGTGGTCAGAAAATATCCTTTGTATGATTTCAGTTTTTAAAATATATCAGATTTGCTTTGTTATATAACATATGGTATATCTTGGAGAATATTCCTTGTGCACTTGAAAAGAGTATATATTTTGCCATTATTGAGTAGAGTGTTGTACAGATGTCTATTTAGCTGCTTTATAATATTGTTGAAGTCCTCTATTTTCTTATCAACTATCTTAGTGTTCTATCTATTATTGAAAACAGTATATTGAAGTCTCTAACTACGGTTGTATAACTAGTTCTCCCTCCAAATCTGTCAATTTTTGCTTTGTATATTTTGATATGTTATTTGGTCTTATAAGTTTATGTGTTGTAGCTTCATGATGGATTCACTCTTTTATCAATCTATAATGTCCTTTGTTTTTTAATCCATTTCCCATTTACCCTGAGAATACTTGCCAGCAGCACTTGTAGTTGCAGTGTTTACCTCGAGATAACTCATGATTACAGTCCTAACCTTACCCACAAAGGTTGCCATGGAATGTCTCACTTTCATTATTATTTTTGCATTGCTCTAGCATATCGATATTGTTTGGAAACAAATGACATCATTCTGTTTATAGAATGTTTTTAGTAGTGGTATTTCCATTTACAAAATATAGTAATTCTCAATTGCTAAGAATGTCATATCCTAGAAAACATAACATTCCTATGTGTGATGTTAATGCTGGCAGTGAGCTGCACTTTTTTTTTTCTATACAGGAAATGGGTTAAAACAATTTTTGACTTAAAGTGTGTTTGTCTGATATTAGTGTAGCTACCCTAGCTTTGGGTTATTATTTGCATGGAATCTTTTTCTATCCTTTTCACTTTCATCTTATTTGTGTCTTTGAATCTAAAGTGTATGTCTTGTAGAGTGTGTTATAGATGGCTCATGGATTGTCATTTTTTTTTTTAATGAATTCTGCCAGTTACTACCTTTTAATTTGAGAGTTTAATCCCTTTATATTCAGTGTAAATACTGATGAGAAAGGACCTCTGCCATTTCATTGTTTTCTATACCTTTTTTCTTATATCTTTTTTCTCCCCTCAATTCTTTCCTTGTTGCTTTCTTTTGTGTTTGACTTTTTTTTTTTGTTACATAGTGTATTGATTCCCTTTTCTTTCTCTTTTCTGTGTATTTTTTGGCTATTTTCCTAATGATTAATCTAGGAAGTATAAATAACATTTTAAACTTCTAACAATCTTGTTTGAATTAATGCCAATTTAGTCTCAGTATTATACAAAACTCCTGTACATCTCTGTTCCACCCCTTTAAGTTGTTATTGTCAAAAAATTACATCATTTACATTGTGTGCTCATTAAAACATTTATAATTATTGCTTTATGTATTTTTTAAATCCTACAGAAAAAAATTATAAACCTAAAATACAATAATACTTTACTTATGTAGTTATTTTTGGCAGTGTTTTTTATTTCTTCATATGGTTTTGAATTATTGTTTATTGTCCTTTCATTTCAACCTAAATGACTTATTTTAGTTACTCCGTAAAGAACATCTACTAGTGATGATTTTTTTTAGCTTTTGTTGTTCTGGGAATCTTTTAAGTTTCTCCTTTACTTTTGAAAGATAGTTTTGCTGAATATAGAACTTTTGGTTGACAGTTTTTTCTTTTGGTATTTTAAATATATAATTGCATTGCCTCTATCCTCCATGGTTTTTGATGAGAAATCAGCTGTTGATCTTGATGAGAGAGTTCTCAGGCAAAACAAAGGAGGGCATCTTACATCAGTCCTTCAGGGAGCACTCAGACAGGTCAAAACAGACAAACACAATTCCTTGGAAACAAAGTCTCCTTAGCTCTTTTTGGAACCAGGAACTTCCAGTGGGAACTCCAGCTTTTCTCTTCAAGGCTGCTGCCAGACTGAGGAGGGGTTTGGACAAGGGTAAGTTATACTGCTAGAAAGTGCTCCTGCCACATTTCAACTCTTCCCTGGTTAAAAGTTTTCTTGGTTCCTTAAACTTTCTGCTATCTTTGAGAGTTCAGGTAAAGTTGATTCTGACAGCATTTCTAAGTTTTTTCGGTGGTTCTGGGGAAGGATATGCCCCAGTGTTCTCTTCTCCACTATTCTTGTATTTCTGATGATGTCGCTCTTGAATTAAGTTATTATTTTTTAAACCTAGGTTCTCTATACTTCTAGCAGCTTGGATATCAAAAATTCTAAGACAATCTGTTTTTTTAAAAAAAAAATGGCTTCTTAACAACTGATCTTCATTCAATTTGACCCTATAGTCCTTGATTCTTGAATTTGTATAATGTATTATTTTCATGGTTAAAAAAAGTAATCAAATACTGTTTTTAAAGTATATAGACTTCCCATGACACCATTTATTTCGAATATGTTTATGTCTTATAAAAATCTACTCAGATGATAGATTCAGATTTTTAACAATAGAGCTGTACTGTATTTTTTTTTTTTCCTGGAAACATAATGAATTTTAAAAATTCTCTTTTCCTATTTTGCCTGGACATTTTGAATGCCTTATAAAATGTACTAAGAATGTGTATGTTATGATAGAAGATAGCTAAAGAGGAAAAATAAAAGTAAAGTGACAGTTCCTTTTTTCTTTTTCTTGGCAGGTTATTAACAAATTCAAACAGACTTACAACAACCAGAAATGCTGTATGGGCCCTCTCAAATTTATGTAGAGGCAAAAACCCTCCTCCAAACTTTAGTAAGGTATGGTTAAAATACACAAATTTAGGAATCTTTTTATATAAACTTTTAAGTCTCCTTGTAATAGATTTTTAGAGATTGAAGGGACTTAATTCTTATTTTAGTAATTATTTTCCTTATTGACTAGACAATATTTACACATATAAAAACCAAGAGATATACAGTGCAAAGGAAAAGAAAGTTTTCCTTTCTACCCTTACTTCACCCCATGATTGCCTCCCTTCAGAAGTAACCACTGTCACTAGGTGTTTATGTGTCTTAAAGTTGACTTTAGTAATCCTCTAGTCTGGTTCTCATCATTTAAAGGAAATTGAAGCCCCCTAAAATTAAGATAATCCCTCCAGGTCCACTGTTGGTTAACTAGTCAAGAGTGGCTTGTGCTTTCCCATTATATTTTTTATCTGTTAGCATATCTTTTCCTTCAGCTACTAACATTTTGCTGCTAAAAGAATAGATTTATAAATTTCAATCTAGTTCTATTGTCTAAAAATAGAATGTGGGTAAATTTTGGGGATACCATTCTACTACTTTTGAATTCAGTGTCTATATGAATTAAAGGTGAAGAATGACCACACTATTTACATTTTGACATCTCTTTGTTCTAATTATATTGCCTGGGTTTTAGCATTTCTTTAACCATAAGTAAGCAGTAAAGATTTTAAAATTTTGTAATAACAAGCACTTTACAAGAATAACTCGTTAAAAAAAAAACTTCTATATGATGATAATACCTTTGAAATTTATGTAGTATATTTTTCCTGAAGAATTTGCTTTTTGAAAGACATTGAAATTTATAAAATTTGTAATCTGTAAAACCATTAGTCTAAACCACATTTTTCCAAGCTTCTTTTTCTAAAGTTATTACCTTTATGAACTATCTCATGAAACATTGGGGACTTTGAGAGAGGTACATAGATCATGAGAAGTGATGTGGTTATCTAAACGTAAGGTTGATTCACATTTATGGTATTGGTTAATAGACGTTATTTAACAACTTGCAAAAGTTATTTATTAGGGACTGTTTATTTTCTCTTCTGTCCTCCTACCTCTGCTTCTTCCTTCTTCTTCATCAACTCTCAGCTAATGACCTTGCTTCCTACTTCAATGAGAAAATGGAAGCATTCAGAAGAGAGTTTCCAGAGATTACCATCACCACGCTGGGCATCCTGTCATTACTTGTACCTACCTATTACACTTTCCTGTGATTGTTGGTTATTTTTTCCATGTTCCTTTATAAAATTAATTCATCTGCTTCTATGCTGCATAACTTTCTAACTTTCCTATTCAGGGGTATATGTCCAGCAATTCTCTCTTCTCTCTTCAACATTAGCAATTATTTTTCTTTCTTCCACATCATTGTCATTACTATAAAAATATGCTATTATTTCTTCCATGTTAAATCTTTTCTTTGTCCCTGGGATCTCCTGTCATTTTCCTTGTTAACTATCACCCCATATTTTTGTTCTCTTTTAGAGAAAAATTTCTCATTCATCTATTCTTGTATTGTCTACTTTCTCTCCTTGCTTTTTTTCTTGAATTCACTCCAATCAGGAATTTGCCTCAGTCACTGTACTGAAACTGCTTTCATTAAGGGCATATATGTCTCTCACTGTGAAATCCACGGGTCAATGTTTAAACTTCGTCTTACATGACTTGCTATGTACAGTGGTTATTTATCAGTGTTCATGGAATCCGATCTGTTTCCTACACATGATACAATTGGTCACTTCCTCCTCCTATATATAATATTTTTAAACTTGGTTTTTAAGCTACTACACTCTCTTAGTTTTCCTTCTACCTCAATGATTGCTTCTTCTCAGTTTCATTTTTTAGTTCCTCCTCTTTTGCTTCCTTAGGTTGAGGGTACAAAGTATATTATTTTGGCTTTTTCTCATCTTTATCTGCACTCACTTTTCCATTGATTTCACCCATTCTGTGACTTTAAATATCATCCACATGCCAGCAACTTCCAGATTTCAATGTTTGATTAAAATATTCTTCTAAACGCCAAACTCTGCATCTTTATTTGGATATCTAAGAGACGTCTCAAACTCAGCATTTCTAAAAATAACTCCATTTCTTTACCCCCCCAAACCTGCCCTGCCAACAATCTTTCCTACATTACTCAGAAAACTTTAATATGTTTTGCCTCCCACCCCGCTTTTTTTTTTTTAATCTCACACTCTACATTTCCTCCATCAGAAAATTCTGTTGGCTCTACTTCTAAAATATATTTAGGTAAGGTCCCTCTAGACAAATTGAGGATCAAAATGAATAAAGAAAGGAAATATTATTAACACATCATATTAAAAAAAAAAAACTATGTGTCTATCCCTAAAATTAAAATGGAAAAAGAAAAGCCTTTTTTTTTTTGTTTTTTGTTTTTGTTTTTTAGAGAATGCCTACTAATAGAAGGGTGTTCAAAAAGACAATCACCATAGTAATAACTCATTCAGGTACAAATCATCAGTGAGTTCTAAAACATTTAGGTGCAAGATTGTTGGGGAACAGAATGTTCACATGATTGGAATGTATTGCCCTACAAAGAAAAGCCTTTTTTTTTTGTTTTTTGTTTTTGATTTTTAGAGAATGCCTACTAATAGAAGGGGGTTCAAAAAGACAATCACCATAGTAATAACTCATTCAGGTACAAATCAGTGAGTTCTAAAACATTTAGGTGAAAGATTGTTGGGGAACAGAATGTTCACATGATTGGAAAGTTTTGCCCTACAGAGTATTATTCATTTCATTGGGGTAGGAGGGAGTTATGCTTACTGTTGAGAATTCCAGGGGACACCAACCACCTTAACCAAATGATTAAAATGATTAACCAAATTATTAAACTTAGCATTACTGACACTATATGCTTTCAGATGTGACATGACTCAGAAGAGCACATGATCACCTGTGTTATGCATGAAACGTTTAACCTGCATCTAATAATGAGGAAACAATAACATAAATCAAAATTGAAGGAATGTCTGCAAAAGAAATGTATTGGACTCTTTAAAATTGCCAGTGTTATGAAAGAACACAAATAGGCTTGGGGAAGTATTCAAGATTAAATGACAGTAAAGACACATACCTATTAGAACGGTTAAAATCTCAACAACTGACAATATTAAATGCTCCCCAAATAGAGAGAAACTGAAATTCTTATATATTGCTGACAGGAATGCAAAATGCTACAGACATTTAAATAAACAAGCAGTTTCTTACTATACTATTTAGCAATATGGTACTTACCCAATAGATAAGAGATAGTATGACTACAAAAAGACCTGTATGAAAAATATTTATGGCAGCTTTATTTATTATCACCAAAATTTGAAATAGCCCAAATATACACATTTGATGTATAGATTAACAAATTATGGTTCATTTATATGATACAGTACCATTTATCTATAAAAAGGAAGAAACTACTAATATGTACATCAACATGAGTGAATTTCACAAGTATTAATCTAAGGAAAGAAGGCACACACAAATGCTCTGTGATTTCATTTATATAGTATTTTGGAAAAGACAAAACTAAAGAAACAAACAAACAAAAAAACAGGTGAGTGATTACCTGAAAGGGACAGAAGGATATTTTTAGGGGTGATAGAAATAGTCTTTATTTTGATTGGGTGGTAGCTATATAACTGTATACAGTTGTCAAAACTCTCATTAGAACTGTATACTTAAAAAAATTTTTTTACTGTAAGTTATACTTAAATAAACCTGTTTTTAAAAAATATACTAACAAAACAAATAAATGCATTGTTTATTTATTGATTAGATCATAGATCAAAATTAAGTTTTAGCTTAAAAAATTTGAATTTGCTTTAAACCTTAGATAACAGTATTGCAACTATATAAAATATCTTGGATGTGGTAATTATTTTGTGCCTGAAGAATAATGAAGAATGCCATTTTCTTAGGAGATATATGCTAATGTATTTAGGAGTGAAGTATCATGATAATATCTACAATAGGTTCTCAAATAGGCCAGTAAAGTATATATATATTTAATTATATCTGTATCGTGTGTCTGTGTATTTGTGATAGATGCACTTTGTATGTGTGTGCATGCGTGTGTGTGTGTGTGTGTGTGTGTATATATATATATATGCACTTCGTGTATATATGAAAGTGGGGAGAGAGCAAATGTGGCAAAATGTTAACTGGTGAACCTATATGAGTAGTATATGGGTGTTCGTTTATTCATTCTTACTTTTGTAAATTTTCTATAGGTTTGGAATTTTTCAAAATAATATATTGAGGAAGGAAATATATCACCTTCCTTGTTACCACCTGGTCCATGCTACCATCTGTCTTTTGTCTGTGTTATTGCAGTAGCTTCCTAATAAATCTTTCTTTTCTCTTTACCCGTCATTTTCTATTCCCAAGCTAACAGATAGGATGATCCTGTTAAAATGTTAGTATATACCACATCTCTGTTCAGAATCTTGCCACAGCTCCTTACATTTTATTCAGAGTACAAGATAAATTTGTTAAATATCCTATGAGAATTTTCATCATCTGGCCCTTCTGTCATCTCTCTTATTCAACTCTTACTGTTTTCCTTTACATTTCATTCAAGCCACAGGCCTGCTTGTTGTTCCTGAGACACACAAAACATGCTTTTGCCTTCGCTCTAGCTGTTCCCGCTGCCTAGAACAATGGTTCTCCAAATTTTTTACCCCAGGACCCCTTTCCATTTCTAAAAATTACAGAGACCCAAAGCTCTTATTTACATGGTTTATATGTAGCAATATTTACTATATTAGAAATTAAAACAAAAAATTTAAATATTTATTAATTCATATAAAAATAACAAACCCATTGCATGGTAAGTGATTTTTTTTTTATGAAAAATACTTCTAAAATAAAAATTTTGTGAAAAGAGTAGTATTGATTTACTTTTTTGTAGATCTCTTTAATATCTGGAGACATACAACTGGAATCTCATTTCTGACTGCATTTATCTGTTGTGATATGCTGTTTTAGTTGAAGTATATGAAGTCTTTTCAGATAATCATTAATATTTCTTGATACTATACTAAAATTTAAGTGGTAGCTTTTTTAAAAGTTGCATTAAGGAATCTGAAATCATATCATTGAATTTTTTGTACTTTGTTATATTAAAATCCACTGGTCTTTTTTGCACTTTAAATGGATCTTTTTCTCAGGTATGATTTTGTAACATCATGCATTGGTCATTTGGACTATAGGAACTACTGAATTCTGCATCTCTTAACAAATGTTGACATTTCATTATACAGTATATTTTTAAAAAAATAACAGTATAACCACCAATGTTGGAAAGCTGTCAGACTTAACCAAGGTGGATACAAGATTTCCAAAATTCTAACATTTGTTTGAAATTTCAAAATTTATCCTTGGCAACAAATATTGCTTATTGCTTCCTTGAAGCGATAGACTTTGTTTATTTTCAAAAAAAAAAAAGTCTGCCAAAGACCTAATAAAGATTAATAGTCATCCAAGTGAAAAATGATATTTTCATGGGGGAAAAAAAAAAGTCTGCCAAAGACCTAATAAAGATTAATAGACATCCAAGTGAAAAATGGTATTTTTATGGGGAAAAAATGGCTAATACAGTTTGCACTGAGACGAGTGATTTTCCTAGAGGCCACCATCATACTTTGGTATGTAGAAGTGCTCTAAATGCATATTTCCCATTTCATCTCACAATGTATTAAAAAACGTGTTCAAGAATTGAGATTTCATAAAATTAGAAATTTTTAATGCTACTTCAAGGAAATTCTTAAATGAAACTGGCTTCCCTCTCCTCTTTTTAACTGCAAGTGTGTAGAGGTGAAAAATATAAAGATCTGTGGTACATTTTGTACCACTGTCTTGATTTGTGCTAAGGTGCTGATAGTTTTACCCACCATTGTTTTATACCTTTAGTGTAAATGTCAACAAAATGGAAAAAAGAAAAGTTATGTGTTAGTATAGTTATGAAAATAGTTTTGTTATGAAAGACCTCCTAAAGGTTTTAAAAACCTCCCCAGGAGTCCATGGATCACACTTTGAGAAGCATTAGCCTACAGTACTACCTAATATCTACCCAACTAATTCTCTATATTTCTTTTCTTTTGAGTTCTTATGTATTTTTTCTTCTTTTAAAAATTAAATTTATTGGGGTGACATTGATTAATAAAATTATATAGGTTTCAAGTGTACAATTGAATAATGTATATATATTGCCTATATTTATCTTCTTTTCCTTGTTTCTGGGAATACTGTGGGGCAGAAATGTTTTTATTTTGCTCTCAAACTAGAAATGTATAGCACTTTATTGTTTTTTAAATAAATAAAAATATATATAAGTTACACTACATTTTTTAATTCAAAAATTTATATTTGCTTTAAAAGCTGATTCTCACATTTCCCTGTTCAAGGAAGAGGAGGTGGTGGGTAGAGTAGAGGCATAATTGTTGAGGTGAGATCCAGTTGTATAGATTATATTTCCTAATTTACAGATGAACACATATGTTTTGTAAGTGATCTGATTTCTGTTTGTGGACCCCAGGGGTATCTATC